TACAAAGTTTCGGCCCTTCAGTATCTGTCTATATTTCTGAGATGAGGTATTATGTACACTATTTACATTATTCGGACTATTGTCCTCATCTTTGTTGCCATATTTATTACAACGTTTCGGCCTTTCAGTATCTGTCTATATTTCTGAGATGAGGTATTATGTACACTATTTCTATTATTCCGATTATTGTCCTCATCTTTGTTGCCATATTTATTACAACGTTTCGGCCCTTCAGTATCTGTCTATATTTCTGAGATGAGGTATTATGCACACTATTTACATTATTCGGACTATAGTCCTCATCTTTGTCACCATATTTATTACAACGTTTCGGCCCTTCAGTATCTGTCTATATTTCTGAGATGAGGTATTATGTACACTATTTACATTATTCGGACTATTATCCTCATCTTTGTTGCCATATTTATTACAACGTTTCGGCCTTTCAGTATCTGTCTATATTTTTGAGATGAGGACTATTATCCTCATCTTCATTGCCGTTGTACGCTCCGGCACTATTCAGCTGATTGGAATTTCGAAACGATCCCTTTATTTATTCCACCGGGGTAGATTGTTCTAGTTCCCCGTGCCATGCCCCCAGAAGTCTCAGTTATTTCCTTTTAACTCAACTTTTGAAGACTCAAAGTTTTTGGTCCAGCATTGCTGTAGCATGGTATTGAACTCACAACACTTTGTGTCTAGTCACTGGATATGACCAACGTCTTTATCCACTGGGCCATGTGTCCTTGAGTTAAAGAGAAATAACTGAAGCATTCGGAAGAGACATGGCACGTGCAACTAGAACAATCCATCCCAGGGGACGAAATAAAGAGTTCGGTTAGAAATACCAATCATCTGAAGAATACCGGAGCGTACAAGGGCTGAAACGTTGTGAACATTTGCTACGCTCAAAAAAACCTGATGTGTATGGTTAATTCTAGTGTTTTTTTTTTGGGGTTTTTTAGGATGTTCTTAATATATGTATTATCTACAAGGATTTTTTTCTGTGTTGTGAGTGGAGATAGGACTCCTGACTTAAAATCAGTGACGTGGCTAGTAAATAAATGCAAATATATTACCAATCTACAATACTTATATCTGTCTATATTTCTGAATTGAGGTATTGTATAATTATTTACATTATTTACATTGTTCGGGATGTTGTCCCCATCTTTATTGCCATATTCACGTCGTTTCGGTCGTTTTACGCACCGGCCTTCTTCAGGATCTATCTATATTTCTGATATGAAGTATTGTAATTATTTACATTGTTCGGGCTGTTGTCCTCATCCTTATTGCCATATTCACGACATTTCGGTCGTTTTATGCACCGGCCTTCTTCAGGATCTATCTATATTTCTGATATGAGGTATTGTAATTATTTACATTATTCGGGCTGTTGTCCTCATCTTTAATGCCATATTCACGACGTTTCGGTCGTTTTACGCTCCGGCCTTCTTCATGATCTTTTTATATTTCTGTGTTGAGGTATTGTAATTATTTCCATTATTTCCATTATTCGTACTGTTGTCTTCATCGTTATTGCCGTATTTTGACCGTTGTATTCTCCGGCCTTCTTCAGGTGATTGGACTTTCGAATTGAACCCTTTCTTTCGTCCATTGGTGTAGATTGTTCTAGTTCCACGTGTCGTGGCTCTCCCGGGTATCTCAGTTATCTACTTTTAACTCAACTCTATAAGATTTTGTTCACCACTGCAGTAGCCGGGTATTGAACACACAATTCTTTTGGGTCAAGTTACTGTATTCAACCAGCGCTTTTAGTGAGGATCAAGAACTTTGTTGCTTTGAGTATGGCCGTTTATATTTCTTAAATTTTGTGTTGTTTTTATTTTTTTGAAAAGAAACTATAGGCAGAGTGGGAAAAAGGTTTTGAATATTTTGGCATGATTCCAATGACCTTTTGTCTCCGTGCAAATTCACCTTATGCTTAAAAATTGGTACTTCAGGTTTGATTTTATCGCATTATAAGGACGATTAGAATGGCGGTGTATATATGATTATTGGAAGCATGTTGATAATTTCATTTGGCTTTATGTTAAGCGCGGCTATCAAGAATTGCGACTGAAACAAATTTCGAATGGAATCGGTAAAAATAAAGATTACCATAGCTTTATATTAGTACAAAACCTAGAAAAACAATAAAAGTTCTGACAGAATCCCATTATTCATCAAATGTCACCAAAATTTGGCTAGAACTTCTGAAAATATTAGATGACAGCTATAAGCACTTTGCAAAAAAAATCCGGACCCCATCTGCAGAAAAATTGGGTAGAACTACAGGCAAAGGTCGACATGTCAGTCGAGATTTGGCGGTTGCCCTTGAAGGCGTGTGCCACTTACGTCTTTCCTCTCATCCTATACTGGCTGGCTGTACTTCCTCTCTGGAAGGAAGGGATCGAGCTCTTGCTCTCCTCCGTCTTGTGGGGGTTGGTCGCAAGCATCACCTCGACAGAGATGACTGTGCCCGATGTCCGTGTCATGGGACGCAGGGAATGCCACATTTATGGAGTAACCGACAGGCCTCAAGGTTGGATTTCCTAAGCCGCGCGTAAACAGAGGATTTGATCTTGAAGCAGGGTGTGAGGGCTGTTTTCACTCATCACTTCTGTTTCTAGGTCCGAGTGCCATCGTAGGTCCTGGGATCAGTCGGATTTCTTCGTCAAGTGTCACTCGGCATTTAAGGTAATTCCTCTTTCTCGACCCAGGGGAAATGGTGGTATGTGTCATGAAGGATCCGCTCTGCGACCGGTTCGTTTGTTGGCGACCGAGTTGCGTTATTTCCGGTTCTGGGCACCTCAGATTATCTCAGCAACCCTGAGTTCTCGCTTAACTGGCGACTGGTTCGGAATAGGCTACCTCTCAATGATATAGCCTTCAGATGGGGGTTGGCGGATTTGCATGACAGTCTTCGGTATGACCTTGGTTTAGAGGAAACGGCTTTGCACGGTTCCTACCATTGTCCTCAGTGCACCTTCCCTGGGGCTACGCCGGCGGGTTGACGGCTCGTATCCATCCCGAAAACCAGAACAGGCCAAAACTAGAATCGTGGATTGAACGACGCAGATGGAGGATATCTTGTAATGTGAACGCTATTCTCATCGGGATCTGATTAGATTCTTTGAGCATCAGCTCAGTATGAATATTAGAACTGGTAGAAAGCGGGTTTGTATTGACAGATTGCAGTGAAAGCTGGGTAACTATGGCGAGCCTGGTTCACGTGAACGGAGCTAGCCTTGATTTTTCTTTTTATAAGTCTCCCTAATTCACAACGGGGCGATTACTTGTGTAGCTCTCCCCTAGTTAAGATAGAAACTTCTTGTGGACCTAATTAATGTGATTAAAGTGTCGTTCCCGTCCTGTGACCGGCTTCTCCCAATGGGCCAAATAGAGATTCCAGAATTGCATAGTTTCTTTGGCCTGGTTTTTTCATCTGGACTGGGTCAGTTTTTTGAATTTTCTAATACCCTTGATTTTTTTTTACTCTCCCTCTGTTACGGTTTTTTGGGTATATGGCATATAACTAGTGAGCGAGTCAGAATGACTTATTTCCCTTTATAGTTGACCAATAGAAAGTTGACCAATCAGAAGCCGCCCAACACTGTATTCATAGTGTATAAAGGCGGCCATCTTGTTTCCTCCTACCGGAAGGAGCAAAGGCGAAGGATGAACTACACTCTGCTGTGATATCCACTGCGAACCTCCACTACGCTTTCCTACTGTCTCCGAAATATTCACTGCCAACCTCTGGATGCGATACTCGAGGACGACCGTCATGAAAATGTCTAACACCCTCTTCAATTAGAGAGCGAGCATCTTGATTTTTTTCTGAAGACAGAATACAGCAGAAACTCTAATTTTTGAGAGGTGGACGGGTCTTACTATAACATCTTTCTTTTTCTTTTCGGGGTTATCACACACTACCCATCATTTCATAACATTATATTAAGCAGTAATTTGGATTTTGCTAACCAGTTGCTGTAGAAGTGAATAATGACTATTCTACTTAGTATTATGTTTATTCATTAGTCGGAAATACAATAAACTATAAATTTGCATGTATACGGATATTTGTTTCCCCCATTATAACTTGAAGAAGACATTCTGTGGAAATATTGTTTAACATGTCAAACACTGTATTTTTTTCTTCAACTTTTCTTAAATTGCGCTCTTTGCTTAACTGTTGAAAAAATACTCGGAGAGTTACGTCACTCATTTTGTTTTTATTATTATTATTATTATTATTATTTTCTTTGATTTCCGGCGTTTACACATTACTTTCCGGGTCCCGCCAAGGGACCTAAGGTTAGAAATGGCATCATGATACTTTCCACTGACAAAAATTACATAGATAAAACCCTTCGTAAAATGTGGGCTGTACTTGTCAGAACAATTTTTTGTATCTCTTTGAGGCATGGACTTCCAGGAATCCCTTCAATTAGTCTACTGGAATCTTCTTCTTCTTCTTCTTCTTCTTATTATTATTATTATTTGTGTGTTATGTTTCCTGCTTTGTATCCTGTAGAGCCGAGTCCAAATTACGGTCCTTAGACCCTATAGGAAAATTGTCATTTAATTGATAGCACTTTTCTTAGTATATGTGATGTTCCTCGTAAGACGAACTTCTGAGCAACCTGTAGGTTGATGTTACCTGAGACATTGTAAGTAAAATTGTCCGTTTCTTTTCTCACGAGGCCTAAATCTCCGATTACTATTGGTACAGTCTCAGTCTTCATTCCCCACATAATATCGATCTTCAGGTCCTTGTATTTGGACACTTTCTCGACAATAATAATAATAATAATAATAATAATTATTATTATTATTATTGTTGTTGTTGTTGTTGTTATTGTTGTTGTTGTTGTTGTTGCTGTTGGTGGTGGTGGTGGTGTTTTCGTTGCTGTTGTTTTTTACTAAGTACCTTTGTTCTATATTTTAACATTCTCCATCTACTAATTATTCATCGTTCAACACCATAACCTATGCTCTCCTATCGGGGCACATTACCACTGAGCCGTAAAATAGTAGTAACTGGGGTTGTCTCTGCCAGTTCGCAGTCGTCGTTACACTGCTGGCGCGTTTCAAACAAAAGTCGGGGTTCAAAAACCATGTGTGATAAAAGTCAAGACGGAGAATTATCTCCGCTCTCATTGTTCGGCAAGATTTTTGCCCGAGATTGCCATGATGATTTGATTAAATTGAGCGGAGGTATTTGAAGCGAGTCGAAGAAAAAGCGCGGTAAGATCACGATGGAGACATCAGATTAACGACTATGTAATTAACACGCGCTTGTCTTTCGAAATAACAACGGGTGAGGCCTCTTGAAAGAAGTGTTAAAAACAGTCATCGGAATGTTGTTCTTTTCTTATTTTCGGTGGCGGGGGTGACAATTCTGCGCGTGTATGGGGAAGGTGACAAATGGTGAGCCCAATATAACAGGTGTTTCACTAAGAGGCTTGTTTTAAGATATTTAATTTAATCAATCTGATTAGTTCTAAAATAAAGTAGAAAAAAAAAAAGACAAAAACACAATTTTTTGAGTCGATTAGGACCAGGGGAAATTGATAAAAAGAAAACAGTCTTTGAAAAACTGTAAGTTAAATAATTCGAAGTCGAAAAAAGTAAAAGCAAAAAACAAAACGTTATTTTCTTGTTAGTTTTGTTTTAATTTTCAGCGAAACTGACATCGTGAGAAAATTTTTCCTGCGTGAAATTTTGTCAGGTTTAAGAAGTCAAGATCGATAGTGAGTCAAAGGTGTACAATGAAAAATTAAAATAGGCTTGAAAAGGTAATGGTATTAAATTATTTGATAATATTTAACTCTATTTTAATACTCAAGTAATTATTTCCATTTGATAGTGAAATGTGGACGGAAAAACCTACCTACCTGTTTGTCTGTCTATCTATCTATCTATCTATCTATCTATCTATCTATCTATCTATCTATCTATCTATCTCAGTCTCTTGAGATCTATCTATCTATCTATGTCAGTCTGTGGTCTATCTATCGATGTACGTTTGTTCTGCATTTAACTATCTATTTCCATCAATTCATATCTATCTGTGTCAAATTGTTCGGCATTTAACTACTTCAGTCTATCCATATCTATCTATCTATCTATCTATCTATCTATCTATCTATCTATCTATCTATCTATCTATCACAGAGATTTTCCTATCACAGTAAAGTAATAATTATAAGTTAAGTGGTATAATTTATATTAATAATATAAATAATAATATCGTTATATATCTATGTAATTTTGTTCAATATCTATCTATCTATCAGACTGTTCATATAAGTCTATTTATCTATCTCTCTAGGAAATTAATTCTGTTCATATCTATCTATCTATCTATCTATCTATCTATCTTTTTCTCTATTTCTCTATCTCTCTCTCATGATATATATATATATATATATATATATATATATATATATATATATATTCGAACTAAAATGCATACACTTGTATGTATGTGTGTGAGAGTATCATCCCAATTAAACACAGAAGAAAATATCCCCTATATTTGCTACAGTAGTTGTATATACCGTGTGTCACAATAAAATTGTCCAAATCTTGTAACAATATGGGGTAGTTGTCCACCCCCAAAAATGTTTAATATCTTAAAAACATGTTATTCCAGGACGAAAAGTTAGAAGGGTAGAGACAGAGAACACGTATTTATCTAGTAAGATTTCTCGGATATTCAAGCAGGTAGATGAAAATAAATAAATATACTATCTAATAAATAGACATAGCATCTACTCAGATATGAGTACACACTAAAAATAACGTTTAAGCGATAAACTAAAAATATGTGGGATTCATTCCCATATAACTGGTGTAACAGCAAAACTGTCCAAATCATGTAACAGCTTAATTGTCCATCACATAAAATGTTTAATATCTAGAAAGCTACAAAACTAATAGAGTTACAATTTTCCAGGTTTTCAGAAAAGACGTTTAGCCATCTTGATACCTTTTGTCGTAAAGATCACTGAAAACCCCTTTGAATTATTCAGCTAGAAAGAGGACAGGTTAAAATCGTTTTGTGTCAGCCCCACTGTCTTCTCAACTGAGCAATGGTGAGAGACAAATATCATTCCGGCCCCCAGTAATTGTATCAACATTCATACTCTGGTCCCCATCTTCAAAGTCCATTCTATCAATAGAACGATGAATAAGTTTAAAAAAGGGGTAACCGTAGAGAGGAAAAGAGGATTAGGAGGTCACATCAGCAAGAGGGATCATAATTTCAACTTGGAGCTAAGTCCATTCTTATTGTTCAAAGTAGAGTCCAATAATGCTATAAAAACCTCGGAGAATTCCAGTAAGATATGTTTAATCATTTCTAAGCTTAATATAACAATTAGACAATTTTGCTGTTACACGATTTGGACAGTTATGTGTTTGAAAAAAATAATATAACCAGCTTTCCGTTTTTGAAAAAAAAATATAATCATGCATATGTTTTTGAAAAATAATATTACCAGCTATACGTTTTTTGAAAAAATAATATTACTAGCTATAAATTAGAAATAGATTTTCGACAAAACAAAAATATTACCAGAAAAAAGAAGTTGTCGTTATTAAATGATCCATTGAGATTGATATGCCGTAAAACAAAACAAGCCAAACCAAACCAAACGACACGTATATACATATATATATGCCAAGTCCCATACTGTTCACATATGTTTATGTTTGTGTGAGGTCCAATGGGCGAGCGCGCGCGTGTGTGTGTGTCTGCGTACGTCAATAGGTGTACGGGCGTGTATGTATGCTTGCAAAAGTATGAGTGGCGTCAATTTTTCCTCCCACTTCCATAAAAACACGAATATACGCAATCCTATATAAATCCAAAATTTAAAAATTAAACAGTTTGTGTGACGATCGCAAAAGCGTGAAAGCCAGTGTCACAAATTCACATTAACCCAACTAAATATACTCAGTGTGGCGAAAGGTCCGATTGCTTCAAGCCGGGATCGAGACCCAACCGATTTGACATCTGTCAGAGATCCTACACCAAGGACATCGTACCCCTAAGCCATCATAGTAGAGAGGAAGGGAAATTTGAACGTTTTTTTTTGTTGTTTTTTTTTTTGCATACGACATACGTCAGTGGCCCGGAGAACTCAATTCGTAATTGAAGAGTAATGCATATATATATATATATATATATATATATATAGTTTTATCTCTTGTCTTTTTATTCACACACACACACCACACACACAAACATATCCAACATACTGCGAAGAAACTAGACGCAAATTTACTGAGGTTCATTTTTAATGCACTTTTTTACGTCTAAGTAAATTGTTTATTTTTCTTTTGATCAGAGTAAGATTTTTTTAATTCAAGATGGTGGTCAGCTTAGTTACGGTAGGTAACTAATGCGTTCAATAAATATCCCTTATGTTTTCCTATAATGTCTTATTTAAATTCCTTGAGGTTTCTCCTATATATTCTTCATGGCAATCATTAGCGGCAATAGAGTAATGTTCGCCTTCAAGTTTTAGCCTATTGCTTAAAAGAAATTTAAATAAAAAAAAAAATACGTATTTTTAAATTAAAATCTCCAACATCTCTCGTTTATGCGCATGCGTAGTTGCATCAATGTAATCAAAGCTAATCCGATGAAGACCTAAAGAACTAAATGCGTCAAATGAAAGCTTTTTCCATTTTGTCATATATCTTGTTCCCCTAAAATTCTTCTTGATATATTAAAATATATATATATATATATATATATATATAATTATCGCATATCGTCTTCTATAAGATGTAATGGAAACAAGAAAGACACAGTGTCCAATGTAAAATATTAAAACTATACAGCTTAATATACAAAAATACAATTTGCGAAATACACTTAAAACTCAGTGTTTTTCGTGACTTTCAGGTACATAAGAACACGCAGTTTATTTATGAGCGGTCACACAATCCTCTGGCGATTAAAAAAACAGGAGACCGAATATATATATATATATATATATATATATATATATGGAATGGAACTAAATGAATAAAAGAGACAAGACAAGAATATTTTTTTCTGTTTTTTTATTCATATAAGAATATTTTTTATATATATATATATATATATATGTGTTCATTTTGTTCCATTGCAGATACACTATCTTTTATTACATAATATATATATATATATATATATATATATATATATATATATATATATATATATATATATATATTTTGTTTCATTGCATATATATATATCTATAAATAATATTATATATATATATATATATATGTTCATTTTGTTTCATTGCAGACACACGCATAGTCCACCCATTTCATGAACATATATATATATATATATATATATATATATATATATATGTGTGTATATGTGTGTGTGTGTGTGTGTGTGTGTGTGTGTTTTAAATTGTCGCCATGTTATATTTTTAAATTCGCGCATGCGTGTTGTTTGATTTTTTTATTTTGTCATCTAGATAGTATAGTAGGGTCAGTTGGGCACCTTCTGCGAGAGAAGTATGATGTAATTCACACCATCAGACACTTGAAACGGCATGCCGTACTTCTTGACAAATGGGTCGGAAGTTCCAATACGAGCAAACATTTTGGAATGTTTGGATTTCAATCTGATGACAGCGCAGAGGATTCGGAAAGAGTCTAATGGTGTTCGGAGTGATCGCTAGTGATGGCCACGTTATGACTCCATTCATCTTCCCATAGGGCCTCACACTCAATACGGAAGCCTGCATCAAGTGCATTTAAGAGGTAGTGCCGCGCTGGGTCAAGTGGGTGGCTACTGGGTCACCTTATGTCTGGCAATATAAATTTGGACAATGACGTACAAACAGGATAACACAGTCATAGTTGTCAGACAACTTCTGTGACTATATCAGCACTTACATCCATCTAACTCTCCAGACTGCAACATCTTGATTATTATGTGTGGGACGCAGTTCAGCAACAAACTCCTTGTAACACCAATGATGAACTGAAGGCAAGGGTTATGGTAGCATTCACCAACTAAAAGAAGGAGACCGTCCAGAACAGATTCAGGAGATTCCGAAGTTGTCTGGAGACCGTGATTGAAGTCAATAGCGATTTTATTGAACAAATTTACTCTTTACTAATTCAAGATACTTTTGTGTAATTTTGGTAAATATATCTGTTAAAACATGCTAGGCAAACGTGCTCGAGACAGGACCTCAGTGTTGGGCACCTTATCTTGCCACCTTTTCCCAGGATGCAGCGGATGCTTCTCATGTGAAAGGTGAATATTTTTTGAGGGTTAGGATATTCATGTACTTTACAGGCTTCCATATATTGAACAGCTTCAATGATCGTTGCTTGAAAATGCGGACTAAGGATTCTGATCTGTTTCTGCTGAGACATGTTGGCAAACAGGATATTCTTCCGCATTCCTCTTGTGACGGGATCGATTCTCAGTGAGCCCTGTACAGAAAGTGCGCCACTGATATCCGAAAACGTATTGGAATGGCAAAAGATCCCTTCCAAAAATTAAGCACAATATTAAGAAACAGAAAAATTTCGTTAAAAACAAAGAAAAGAGTACCTGAACTGTTACGTGATATCTGTCCTCCCATATGGCAGTGAATGCTGGGCAATTTCTTCAGTGATGAAGAAGAGACTTGAAGTAAGAAAAACGTGGTTCTACAGAATGATGCTGAGGATACCGTGGATCGAACATGTCAGCAACGATGAAGTTTTAGTAAAAATGGAAACAAAACAGGAAAATTTTGCTTAACATCAGGAAGAGACAGTTTAAATTTCTTTCATGTCGCGTCTCCCGACAACGCGGTACTGCAGCTGTGGCCGCCCGGCGGTTTCTCCTTTCAGCTGTCAGCTCTCCATAGAAGAGGTCATTGGGGATGCGACCCTCTGGCATGCGATGGACGTGGCCCAACCAACGGAGTCTGCGCTGTCTGATCAGTGTGAACATGCTGGGTAAACCTGCTCGAGGCAGGACCTCAGTGTTGGGCACCTTATCTTGCCACGCTATTCCCAGGATGCAGCGGATATTTCTCATGCGAAAGATGTTCAGACGCCTTTCTTGCCTAGCGTACTTGGTCCAAGCCTCGCTGCCATATAGCAGTGTACTGAAGACGCAGACTTTCTACACTGCGATCTTGGTCTTCACCGAAAGCTTGGGATTGGTCTATACACGCTTTGTGAGGCGCGCAAGTGTTGTGGCTGCCTTCCCGATTCTCTTGTCAATCTCTGCGTCTAAGTAGACGTTGTCTGTGATGGCGGTGAGCAGTGATGATTGCTCAGACAGCGCATATACCATTAGTTCGGCCACGTCCATCGCATGCCAGACGACCACATCCCCAAAGACCTCCTGTAAGGAGAGTTGGCCGCTGAAATGAGACCCGCCTGGCG